ATCTTCCCCCTGGAGAGGGACAGGCCCGACTTAAAACCAGACCACGAATCGCTGGCCACCGAACCAGAACCATGGGCCGCCAGTCCACGAGGCACGAGCCCCGCATCCACAAACCAAAGATCACGAGCCACGGAACAACCGCATCGGGAGCCGCGAGCTGCGGGCGCCCGAGCCACGGATCGCGGGCCACGGGCCCACGACCGCCACGTGCCACGACCCGCCACCGCAGACCACAACCTACGGGCCACGGAGCCACAGAGCACCGGCCACCACAGGCCGTCGAATCGGGAGCCACCCACCGAGCCACAAGCCACGATTCCCGCGACCACGAACCGAGCATCATGAACCGAGGACAACCGCAACACGAAGCACTGAATAACTCGCCATGGGCTGCAGGAGCTACGAACCACCGGCCACCGAACTACGAAGCATCACCTCACGAACCACGAACCGCGAACCACGAACAACCGATCACGACACGTACCATCGACCCGCAGTTCTGGGGGCCGGTCACGTTTCGCTCAAAATCGCAGAGAACACTTCAATGTTCGCTGGTCACTACGCCCTGCCCAGGGACCCTCAGCAGCAGAGGATCTCCGAGCAAACGGAGCAAATCTCGAGGCTAGAGACACGGCGGGGGAATGCCACGATGCACGAGAGGCAGCTTGCCTTGGAGCAGCCGAATCTCCTCCTGGAGGCCACCACGACTGGGCCACGACTGGGCCACGACACGGCATCGAGCATGCTGCCTTCCCGACTCCACCGCATCTCGCGCTCTCCTCGATCGAAGAGGGCGCCGTGAGGGGAAGGCTGAAGGATTCCAAAGGCCTCAGATGGCGGAGGGTGTTGGGCAGACCCCCTGCGCTTGAATCCTTTTTTCCAAGGGCTGGAAAGGGGGCTATACGCAGAGGATTGGCCCAACCCCCTTGGCCCTAGCCCCCTTAGAAACCCTCCGGAAATGGGGAAAGGAATCAAAACCAAGGGACCCTCAAGGATGACGATGAGATTTCCCCGCCACCCGCGTCGGCCGCGGCAGTGCTCAGACCAGGCCTTCGTCACAGACAGATCGATCGGGTCGCTGATGCAGCCAAGCCCATCGAACCGAAGCGACTGGGGGTGAAAAGAGTCGCAGCGGGGAGGCGCAACCGGATTGATCGATGCCAGGCGCAGACATCGACGCGAGTAGTCGAATCGACCGGATCGTGCACAGTCCGAGCCACAGATAAGCCAGTCATGCCTGCCTGATGAAGAAGCTCGTCCTGGCTGCCTGCTAGGGCCGTTCGGCCTGATGCAAGGACCGACCTGCCTGATGAAGAAGCTCGTCCAGTGATGCCTGCCTGATGCACAAAGCTACATGCGCCGCCGACCCACCACATTTGCCGACCATCTGCCTGGAGCCCGTCGAACCGACGCTCGAACCGACCTCGGAGAAACTCCCAGCGCATCTGGGGCTGCTCTGAGAGCTGGGCTCCGGGGGCCATCTGGTCGGGAGGGGAGGCCTGGGAGACTTAGGGGGGCACATGCGAACGCTACCCCTACCCCCCACGATTTCTAAGGGGAGGGTGGGGTTCACTTCGCTCGGGAGCTCCCGAGCGAAATGAACCCCACCCTCCCCCTCAGAAATCGTGGGGGGTAGGGGTAGGGTTCGCATGTGCCCCCCTAAGACTGGCGCCTCGGGGACACGAGCTCGGGCTGCCTCCACGGATGGCGAGGTCAACGAACGCAGCTCGTCCCCCAGGTCCACCCACCTCCGCGCACCGCGCCCCGCGACGCGCGACGCGCGGCTGCCTCCGAGGCAGCGCCGCGCGACGCCCGATAGGAGGAGGAGGAGGAGGAGGAGGAGGAGGAGGAGGAGGAGGAGGAGGAGGAGGAGGAGGAGGAGGATGAGGAGGAGGAGGAGGAGGAGCAGGAGGAGGAGGAGGAGGAGAAGGAGGAAGGGGGGAGGGCGGAGGAGGAGGCGGGGGAGGAGAACGACACCGAGCTGGCCGTGGCCGCTCGCGGGCCCGCGGCCGCGGCCCCCAGCGTCGCGGGCCCTCCCTCCGCGGGCGGCCGGCCCCGGCGGGCCTCCCCCTCGGCTCGCTCCACGCCGCGGTCTGCCGACTCCTGCTGCGCCTTTCGGCAACGCGCAGAGGGGGGTAGGGGGAGGGGGGAAGGCTTCTTAGAAGCACCCCTGCTTCTTAGAAGGCGCGGGTCTTCTCTATAGATGTAAGGCCGAGGCCTTCTCAGAAGCAGGGTGCTTCTAAGAAGCCTTCCCCCCTCCCCCTACCCCCTTTTTGCGCGCCGCCAAGCCTTGATGCGCCTCTCGTCGCTGGCGGCCGCTGCCTGCGCCGCCCCCCCGCGCTGCCAACAGTGGGAGTGGAGGGGGGCGGGGTGGCGAGACTCGACGAGCGGGAGCGGGAGCGTGTCCTCCCCATCCGCCCTGTGGCCCTGGAGAAGCGGCACCAGCACAAACAGGCGGAGCCCACGAAGAGCGAGCTGAGTGGCTGTGGTGCTTTCACGCGGGCTGCGCAGAGACGGATTTCCCCCCACGGGGCGCTCCTCCCACGGGGCGGAGGAGGGCAATGTACAGGCGGCACTGTGATGGGAGACTTGGCATGAAACGGTTGCTTCGTTCACAGAGGCTAGCACACGAGCGTGATACGAGCGAGGCAAAGCGAAGACACTACTCGCTGCCTCGCTTTACAAAGCTGACTGCTCTGCGCCCAGGGGTGACGCCCTGCTCGCGCCGGGCACCGTGTGTGAGCGGCACCTGCTGCTCGCACACTACATATCGCTTCAAGCATGCCCGAACAACAGTGCGGCGCATTCGAGGAGCAGGCGTGTGCGGCGCCTTCTGCTTGCATCATGAGTATCATTGCTACACATCCATGCCCAAAACAGTGTGCAAGTGTATACATATATATATACATACATACATACATACACACTTATACGCACACATACACAAGACACCAGATGTAGGGATGTGCTTGAAGTCTTCACCTGTCGCCTATCCACGCCCACAACTCGCGCTACAAAACTCTGCCTGCATCCTGTGACTGCGGGGACCTCCAGAAGCATGCGCCATGGGACAGGCGAGCGAACACAGAAGGCCCCATCCATCCTCGAGTACATCCAGCTCGTGTCGCAATTGCCTTGCCGCGGCCGCGCAGCAACTGGGGAAACTCGGTCAATCGTGATGCTCATGGTCGCTTGTGCTCGATGTGTAGACAGGCTCCGGTTCGCATGCTGGACTCATGATGTCATGGCCAACGTCCAGGCCCACGACCCAATCCCTCCTCCTCCTCCTCCTCCTCCTCCTCCTCCTCCTGGCGGGATGAGGCGCGAGATGGCCAAACCGAGTCCGTAGGCGGGCTCCCAGCGAAGACCCGAAGCGAGCATTCCGAGTGAGCACAGAGGAATCCTGTGTGAATGAGAAGCATACAGTCGGGACTTTGACCTAAGGAGCCCAAAATAAGGAACGAGGCCCCTTTTTTCCCATAAGTTGAACCTCGATTTCCCATGGAAACCTGGGGAAAACCCGAGGCAAACTATGAAACAATCAAGGAACACCGAGCCCCTCCCCAACGAATAGGGTTCCTTAGTCAGCGCCCCGACTGTACTACGCTGTACTGCTACATCGGCAGCCATGCAGCGGCGATGGGGCCCGTACGAGATAACCACGACGTAGCCACGCGAGAGACTGGTGCGAGTTGGTTGCGGCACTGTTCTGAAGCAGATGAGACTGAGCCAAGCAAGCCGGTGTGGTGATTAGAAACATGGGTGGGTCCGCGAGGTAAACATGAAGAGGCGGCGGGCAGCTGAGGACTTGGGATAACTCCGCCGTTGCTCTGACAAAGCAGTATACTGATAGCTCTGGGCTGGAAGCGACGTGGCTACGAGCAAACTACCAGGTAGCCAAGACGCACGCATGTGCAAGGACATCTTCGGGGCGCCAGGGGCCAGATGCCATGGGACAGCTCCAAGACATCGATGCCGCATCTGGCCGTGAGGAAAGCACAAGGCAAAGACTGGCGAAACACTGGCGAACCTGTCTCCGGCACGCGAGTGCACTGTCCCCCTCCTCCTCCTCCTCCTCCTCCTCCTCCTCCTCCTCCTCCTCCCTCCTCCTCCTCCTCCTCCTATTCCTATTCCTCCTCCTCCTCCTCCTCCTCCTCCTCCGCCTCCTCCTCCTCCTCCTCCTCCTCCCCCTCCTCCTCCTCCTCCTCCTCCTCCTCCTCCTCCTCTGGCCCTGAGCCCTGGAGAGTCAGAGGCCACTGCGGATGCGCAAGGGCCACTGACGGTCGACCACCGACAAGCATTCGCCCGAAGCCCAAAGCCATGGCTTGGAGACTCGTGGCCTCCAAGACGCTATATAAGAAAGGTAGGCTCAGAAGCCGGTGCTGGGGCCCTCGGAAATATCGTCTGGGCCGTCTTGGGGATCCTCGGTGGCTGGCTCAAGAGGCCAACATCAATGGACATGCATGGTTCTAGCTCTCGCACGTTCGGCCTCGACGACGGTCAAGACGCCAAAAAGAGGCACTCGATATGGTCCGAGACAGCCCACGAGGCCCCCAACGGCATGGTGGCGAGATGGGACAAAGGACGCTCGATATCCGCCGCCCCCTTATAGTTACAAGGGTTCTGGGTACTATGAGATCTGAATTGCTTTCAGCGTGGCTCTCCAAACCTCTGCACAAGCCTCCCGGCCAAAATAGCCGACCCACAACCATTCATCGTCGATGTCTGTACACTTGTAATGGACCCCGCTACGATGGGCCAACAGGCGCCTAACTTAAACGGTCCCAGACGGCCGAAAGACGGCCCAAGATGGCTCAAGACGGCGCCAAGATGGCCCAAGAGCGGCCCTGGACGGCCAACAGAGCCCCACGACGCCAGAAGATCCCAGACGCCCTAAGATGGCCCCAATTAGGACACCCAATCGGCCAAAAGCTGTGTTCAGATTTTCACGAACCCATTGGCTTCTCCGCTTTCAGGCTGAAGATGATTCCAATGATGCCCAATACTGCCCAAGAACCAGAGCCCAAATACTACCCAAAAGGGCCCGAAGATTGCCCAAAGGCGGCCCAGGACGACGCAAAGAAAACCCCAAGACGACTCGAGACCGCCTCCCGAGCGCTCCAGCACGGCCCAAGAGAGTCCAGACGGCCCAAGGCGGCAGAGGCCCCCGAGGCGACCCCAAGCGCACCAAGACAGCCTCCAAGACTTTGAAAAGGAAGGCCCCAAAAGAGCATCCGAAACAAATCCTGGCGAAGGACCCAGCAATACGCAATTGTGAATACCGCAGCTGTGAGCCCCGCCTTCGGTGGAGCTCCCTGTGGGGTCACAAAACGCGTGTGAGGTGTGCCGAAATAGATGCGGTGGCGCCATGCGAACCCTGCCAATGTGGCCTTCGCTGGAGCTCTCTGTGGCGCCACGACGCGTGTGAGGGGTGTGCCGACATGGGTGCGGTGGCGCCATGCGAACCCTGCCACTGGGGCCTTCGGTGGAGCTCCATGTGAGGGGTGTGCCGAAATGGGTGAGGTGGCGCCATGCGAACCCTGGCACTGGGGCCTTCGGTGGAGCTCCCCATAGGGCCACGAAGCGTGTGCGGGGTGTGCCGAAATGGGTACGGTGGCGCCACGCGAACCCTGCCACGGGACCTTCGGCAGAGCTCCCCATGGGGACGAAACGTGTGCAGGGTGTGCCGAAATGGGTGCGGTGGCGCCATGCGATCCCTGCCGCTGGGGCCTTCGGTTGAGCTCCCTATGGGGCCACGAAGCGTGTGAGGGGGTGTGCCGACATGGGTGCGGTGGCGCCATGCGAACCCTGCCACTGGGGCCTTCGGTGGAGCTCCCCATGGGGCCACGGAACGTGTGAGGTATGTGCCGGATTGGGTGCGGTGGCGCAATGCGAACCCTGCCACTGGGGCCTTCGGTGGAGCTCCCTATGCTGCCACGAAACGTGTGAGGTATGTGCCGAAATGGGCACGGTGGCGCCACGCGAACCCTACCACTGGGGCCTCCAGTGTGAGGGGCGGGGGGGGGCCGAAATGGGTGCGGTGGCGCCATGCGAACCCCGCCGCTCGGGACTTCGGTGGAGCTCCCTATGGGGCCACGAAGCGCTGTGCTGGGTATGCCGAAACGGAAACGTGCGGAGGGCGGAGGCAGAGAGAGGGGGGAGGGAGCGAGCGTCCCTGAGCGAAGGTCTATCCTCACGCCCCAGGGCCGCGCGGCCGCGCCTCGGGCCTCACAGGCTCGGCGTCGGCGGACAGGGTGGCGTCGGAGTTCTAGAGAGGGGGGAGGGAGGGGAGGGGGAGGAGCCGGAGAGGAAAGGAGGCGCGGGGCGCTCCCGTCAAAACGAGGACCCGACGCCACAGGGTGGTTGGAACAAAAAGCAAGGCCGCACTTCGGCCACAGGGGGCGGCGATGGCCCGTGGGAGGGAGGCATTGGTCGGCTCCCGCGGCGAGCGCCTCTCCCAGCCAAGCTCGCCTGGCCCCCGCCTCCTCGCGCGGCGACAGACCACGACGCCGAGTTGTTGTCGGTCTTCGGCCTCCAGGGGCCGTCACTAGAGGAAAAATAACCATGCACATACACTGATTCTGGCCAGGCCCATCCTGAGCCCGGGATCGGTGCATACGCCCTCCTACCTTGGCCAGGAAGGCATATGCACCGATCCTGGGTCAAGGATGGGCCTTGCCAGGATCGGTGCATGTGCATAGCTCTCCTCGCCCGAGTCACGGGGCCACGGGGCCGTCCAAGGATTGACCTGGATGGAACACCGGTCGCGGGGAAGGGATCCAGGCTCTCATTAGGCCCTCGGGACCCCACGCTGTGAGCGAAGGCGACGTCGGAGTTCTGGGCAGGACGGGCCCCGCCTTGCCCACAGGAGCGCGCACCGCCGCCCGCAGCGTCGCTCGCGTCTCCAGCCCTGCTCGCTTCGAGCTCGGCCGGGAGCCTCGGGGCCGCCCCCCCCCCCCCCCGCGGGCCCCGGAGGGGCGGGCGCCGGGAGCGGGCGGGCCCCTCGACCTGGAAGCGGCCCCGGGGGGGCTCTCCGCTGGACGGGCCCCGAGAAGATCGGTCGAGAGACGGGTCGAGGGGAAATCGGGCGGGTGGTTCTGGGGGGTGGCCTACATGGGGGCGTAAAGAGGAGGGACCTGAAGGGGCCCTTGAGGGCCCTTTTCTTCACCCCCCGTGGAGGTCGCCCCCCACTGCCACCCACTCAAGAACCGCTTAAGATAAGTGCCCGCACCCCTCCAAGATGCACGACTGACCACTTGTTCAAGCCGCGTCCAGCTGTCGCGACAAAGGGGCCCCCCCCACCTCAGCCCCTCAGCCGGCTCCAACCCTTGACAGCCAGAGCGACCCAAACGATTCGAACATGCCTACAATCAGTTCGTGTGCCATCTCCCCTCCAGGAAGAGCGCGCAGAGCCCGTGGGCGGCTGGGCCTCACCCTCGACGAGTCGTGGGCGGCGCCGGAGCCGGCAGCGGCGCCCGCCGGCTTCTGCAGGAGCGCCGCCTGGGCGGGAGGCTGACGCGTGCGTGCACTGCTACGGTCAGGGGCGTCTGCGCAGCGTGCCGCGGCAACCGCCCCTGCAGCACGCAATATGCCTTGCAAGGCGATGGCGTGCCGCTCTTGTACGTGCGACGGGAGGCGGGGAGAAACTCAGGTCGCTAACGCCCGGGGACGGGGGCGTGGTTGGCGTGTCGCGCCGACGCGTGGTGGGCCAGAACCAGCGTCGCGACACGCCAAGCAACATGTCCTGGCCGTACGTGTTCGCCGCCAGGGGGCCTGCAGCGCCGAAAGAAATCCGCACGGAACTCCGACGCTTATGATTAGTATATGTTCTGTTCATCTTTGGTCGTTTCACAATAGTGTCACTCGATGTTGAAGCACGGCGTCGCGCAGTGAGCACTAATCCTGTGCTCATCCCCCTCGTCCTCCTCTTTCTCATCCTTAATTACCCTCGCCATGCTGCTCATCCTCATCCCCCGCCCCTCCTCATCATCCTCCACTTTTTGTTGTTCCTGTTCCTCCTCCTCTTCCTCGTCCCCCTAACTTCGTACCTCCCCTCCTCATCCTCCTCCACAGCCTTCTCATCCTCTTCCGCCCTCCTCTTCATTATCATTATTCTCGGTCTGTGGTTGTTCCCCTCCTCCGCACCCATCCTCGCCCTCGTCCTCATCATCATCATCACCACGATCACCATCACCACCACCATAAATCGTAGTCTCCTCTTCCGCCGCCGCCGTGCTCGCTCAGATCTCCACCCCGACCATCATTCGCACACCTCTCTCCCGACTTCTCATCATCCCCCCGATCCTCATCATCACCACCATCGGCAGCAACATCGCCATCTGTGAAGATTGCGCGCGTGCACTCAAAGAAAGGCTGAAACAAGAGGGAGGATAACCGCTGGAGAAGGATGAGATACTGTATGCCTTCGTGGCCACGCGGCCACGCGCGCTCCAAGTCGACCTGCAGGCTGATCCCGCAGGGCAGCACCCATGATGGGCCTGTTTTCCACCCCCACCACCACCATAAGTGGCAGGAGGAGGGGGTCCTCCTCCTCCTCCTCCTCCTCCTCCTCCTCCTCCTCCTCCTCCTCGTCCTCCTCCTCGTCTTCCCCTTCCTTCCCATCTCCAACTCATGGTGGTGGTGGAAAACAGGCCCATCAACCCACACGGGCGCCCCGGTGCTGTGCATCTGGGGCGCCCCCGGCCCGCACGGCGGCCCCGCAGCCATCCACCGCGAGGGCCCGCCGGCAGGGCCGCGTGTGCCGCGTGAGCAGGAGCGAAGAGGCGGGGCAATGCGCCAGCCCGTGCGGGCTCCGCACAGCCGCGCGGGCAGGCAGGCGGCGCCTGGAAGCACGCCGGGCCCACGATTCTGCTGCTTACCGTCATCTGACCACTCCTCCGCACCACCATCGTCCTGCCCGTGCATCCCTCACCCTCCTCATCATCATCAACATCCCCATCCATCCACCTTACCCCCTCCCATCCCCCCTCTCCCTCATCCTCCTCCTCCTCCTCCTCCTCCACCACCTCCTCCTCCTCCTCCTCCTCCTCCTCCTCCTCCTCCTCCTCCTCTTCCTCACCACCTTACCCCCTCCCCGCTCATGCGTCCTCTCTCTATCCTTCCATGTTCCCTTCGTTTTTTTTCCTCCGCCCTCCCTGTCTCCCTGCGCTCTCATCGCCTCTCCGCCCCCATCCCTGCCCCCCTCCCCTTTTTTTTCGGAGGGAGGCAGGGCGAGACGGTGCCCCGCGTCTCCTCTCCTCTCGGGAGCTTCCTGGAAACGAAAGTGGCCCGACACACTCGAAACAGTGAAAATCGCCAGCTTCCCAACTGATGGGAAGGGAACTCCTCGATGCTGCAGCGTCGCACCGAGGCCGGCACGGCCAAGGCAAGTCGGCGAGAACGTGTGGAGGAGGAAGACGAGACGACGACGACGACGACGAGGAGGACAAGCGGACACGCCACGGGGCCAGGAAAGGCGAGAAAGACGAGGGACACGAAGAGGAACGACGAAGAGGGGAATGTCGGCTCATGAGAGCTCGGACGCCGCAGAACGGCCACAGGGCACGGAGGAATAAACCGCGCGCCAGTAGCCGCGGCCCGCCCACGCGGCGCGCGGCACGCTGCATGCTCCCATGCCTCGGACCAGGCACGCGGGAGGGAACAGAGGAAGAGGGGGGAAAGGAGGAGAGGAGGAGGGGGGACGGCGCGCGCTCGTCAGGCGCTGAGCCGCAGGGAGGCCCAGCGGGGGACACCCAGCAGACGGGCGAAAGGCGGACGCGCGGCCTCCAGACCCAGGAGGGAGGAGGGAGGAGGAGGAGGAGGAGAGAGGAAGGGGGCGGCAAGCAGGCAAGCAGGCAAGCAGGCAGGCGGGCGGGGGGCAACGGGGGAAGCACGGCCGCGGGGTGTGAGCAACCCGGCCCCGCTAGTTAGGCGCGCGTGCTGGCAGGGGGCGGACGGAGGCGAGAGGGCGGGAGGGGGGGCCGCGCCTTCAGGGGTGGACCGGTCGGCGCCCTTAGTCGCCACCCCGGTCAGGCCAGCACGCCCTGACGTGGGCGGCCGCCCGCCGCCCGGGCGGCAAAACACCCGCCTCACCGCCCCTCGCCCTACCCCTTCCTGGTCATCTCCCCTACCCCTCCTCCTTCCCTGCTCCTCCTTCTGGGCAATTGGTGCGCAAGCCGACTCGGTAAGCGGTGGGGGGACTCCAACCCCAACGTGTATCCCACTCTTCCCAGGCCAGACATTGGCTTCTGGGAGTAACAAGCAAAGATCGTACGTGTGGGAACAAAGGCGGTGGCACCGTTTCCAACACAGCGCTATCGTAAAATAGCGCGCCATTAGCGCGGCCTCGCATTGCACGTCATACCTTGGCAAATCCTGATCACAGCACACAATCCGCCTAGAATAGCAACGCGCAGCCAACAGCACCATGGCATTGCACGCCATCGCACAGCGCTGCAATCTAGTGTCGTGGCAGTGCGTGGCGTCGCCGTCTGTACCTTGTCATGGGCCATCGATGTATCACCTTGCGCCCTAGCGCACCAGTATCACCCCCACCATCGCACGAGAATGGTGGGCAAGTGCTTCCGTATAAGACCATCCACTGTTCGAATCGTATGGCCTCCCTTCATATCCTTCATTCTTCATAGCACAGCGCAGCCGTTCGTATACCACGACTGCGAGAATGAGTTGGCACCCCATGGCGAAGCATTCCATGGCATGCGCAGACGCGTGCTGCAGCACATGCATATTGCATCAACGAAAAAGCACTGCAACTATAAACTATCAGATGGCACGCAAACGAATTAGCATTAGCAGTAGCTCTAGCATGGCCACAAGCAATATCGTTCGCGGTACCGCCAGCATGAGTATTGGCACAGCCTACCAGTGGTTGCACAGCATGGCCTAACACAAGACAGAGCAACATGCCACAACATATAACATGAGAACACATGAAACTCTCGGAGCTCTAGGAATCAGAGAAATCATAGGAGTGCACGACCCTGCGCAGAATACACGCGGGGACCCCTGAGCCCGTCAATACCCTGGCCGTTCATTGCAGGTCCTACTGCCTCAGCAAGATGCACTCGCCGTTCGGGGGGGGGGGGGGGGGGGGGGAATTCCCGATCAGGCCGATCTGAGACCGCTGCGAGACCGCTCGAAGCGAGCCCGCGGGCAACAATACGGCGCGAAAGCCAACCAGGCACCAACCAAGGCCCCGGCCGATGCGCGATCCGAGACTCGACCGCAGCCAAGTCGCCAAAGCCGCACAAGGCAGCCGCGAGGCCATCAAACAACTCCAGGGGGCAGGTGGCCCGCGACAAGATCTGGCATAGCGCCAGCACAACTCCGCTACCAGGGTAAATTCTACGCCAGCGCGCGCATCCTAGCGCAGCTGAGCCAGCTGTCGGACTAGGCCGCCAACGCAGGGGCGAGGGGGGAGGAGAGTGGGAGAGCAAGCTAAGATGGAAGAGGGCGCGAGAAGGTCACGAGGGGCAACGGCTAAGAGGGAAGAAGGTCACACAGAATGGGGCGGCCACCCGCGCCTCGTCCGAGCGCCAGGCGGGCCCATCATGAGCCCGCCTGGCACTCGGACGAGGCGCCGAAAATGCCATCGGCAACCGCGTTCAGCCGCCCCTGCCTCGGACAGCCGCTGCACCCTCCTGCAGCCGCCCCCTTCCTCATCCTCCGATGCCCCGCACCCTCCCCCCACCCCTCCTCAACCCTCACCCGCCCTCCGCTTAACTCTCACGTGGCCTCGTTGCGCCCCGACGGCCCGCCTCCTATTCGGTAGCATAATCTGCCCTCTGCCGTGTGCTACACGCAACAACGTCATGATATGCTACGCTATGTTTGACTCACGGCCGAATCACGCACGAACCGCATCTTGAACGGGCGATGCATCATGTCCCAACTTAGGCCCTGGCACTGCCGCACCCCCCCGACCGCGACGAACAAAGAACCAGCAATCGGCAGCACAGCCGGCTGCTGGGGCCGCCGACCTGGATCGAACTCCGAGCGCCCAGTATGCCGCAGCGCTGGCACCAGACGAGTCGCCCAGGGAGTCCTGGGCGGCATTGTCCACCAGACTCGTCTCGAAACGCATGCCGTCGCACCGCACTCTCACCAGGGAAAGGGGCGGGGGTTGCGGGAAGGGGCTCATCCCTTGCCGGGCGCACCTACGCATGGAGGCACCCCGGTGCGAGAACGATCGAGGGAGGGAGCAGCTGCGACGGCAAAGCGAAAAAACTGACGCGAGCAGCATGAGTCACTGATCCCCTCGACGAGCTCGCGTTTGCGGTGGCCTGCTCATCCTCGTCCGCGCAGTGCTTCAGCAGGTCCTTGATCGGGCAGCGCGAGGCGTCGAGCCCCTGGCTCTTGAGGTACTTCTTCCACGCGAAGGCGAGGACGAACCTGAGCGCGCTGTCGCAGCTGTCTGCCTCCAGCCACGTCTTGGACTTGCAGCGCGGCGGGATGTGGACGCGCCGCGCGCCCGAACCTGT